CCCCAAAACCCCAAAACCCCAAAACCCCAAAACCCCAAAACCCCAAAACCCCAAAACCCCTTGGGTTGAAGCTGATGTTGAGATTTATAAAATATTAACTAATATGCATTTTTCAGGTACAGCATCTGGTGATTAGCTTATATTTATCTCCTCTACCTCTTTCTCTGACTCATAATAATCTCTCCTGGTGCTTTCTGATATACCTTTCATTCTCTGATTGGCTTCATGGTTTTGTTTGTAAATAAGATTGTTGGTTGCTCAAAAAGATTATTATGCAGCAAATAGTTGGTCATTAATTTTTGGGTGGTAGTAACAGTGCCATGATGAAGTCAACAATTATACTTTTGACTTATGTTAGGTGGAGAACACTGCATTTTAAAAAATTTATAAAATTTATGGAGGATTTCCAATAATTCTGCTATGAAGTTCGGTGAGCCAGGCCGTCCATTGAGAGATTCAGAATCTGAAGGACACTGGTTATGCCCTTTATAAATTGGCTAATGAGTGGCATATTGTTAATTATTTAGGAAAATATTTCATGGAACTGATCTATACTGGCATGAAATATTTCCTCACTATAGTCAAGTTATAAAGAGGAACTTGTTAATGCTATTCTGAGTCTTAATTACTTAATGAATGACTTAGCTTGCCTGATTTCACAGAGAATGTTGTAGATTCATCATAATTTTTTAAAGAATTTAAAATTTGTTATCTCACAGAAGTTAGATATGTATAAAGAATTACTGAAAACATCATTTCATAGTCATCAGGAGACAATATGTAATGAGCAACTGTTTTTGATTAACAACTCATTCTTTTAAAAATCTTCTAATTTTTTAGATCATACAAAGTTTATCAGAAGTCCCAGACACGAGAAAAGAGCAAGCAGAAATTTATTTTCCAGTCTTGGAAACACCATAGTATCACCTAGAAACAGAAACGATACAGTAAAACTCGAGGTTGATCAGAGAGATGTGTGGGAGAATAAGTTGAATACTCCTATTTCCACGACAGACTATAATTCAACTTATATTGCTACTCCTTCTGTACCAAAGAAGATAGGTTTAGAGAAACATAAAAGCTGTTTCCAAACCTATAGAGACTTAGAAGTCGACAAGAAACCTGCCTTCACTCCGGCCAAATACAGTAGTAAGAACACAACAGAGGGTTGGCTTATTCTGGGGTTTAGGAGGGGATTGTGACTGAATTTTAGATTTTGTATTGGAGGATGGGGAAGGCAGAATGGAGTTAAGGGAATTTATTAGGCTATTTTGGATGGGTTAAGAGGAAATAGAGGGGGTGAAAGGGGTTTTGGAAGAAAATAGGGGGAAGTTTGTTAAAGATAAGGGAAGATATGGGAGTAAAGGAATTAAGGTGGGATTAGTGTTAGAAAGCAGAAATTTATGCTTAAAAATACATAGTTTAGCTGATGTTTATTGAGATTTTTTATGTATTGAGATATTAATTGGTGCAAAAGGACAGGACTTGCTCTCTTGGAGTTCAGTTAGATCTATATCGAAGAATTAGAACAAATTGATCCCTTGAAAATGCAGATGTCTTCAAAGTTCTACTGGGCTGCTGAGTTTTAATTTGCATAAAAATAATTATAGAATTTGGACACCCTCAAGATCATAAGTACAACTATCAAGAACAAATGAGACAGAATATTTTTGATAAATCTCATTTTTATCTCGGATATTCCTCAAATAAGAGGAGTGAACTAGGTGATAAATTAAAGGAAGTGTCAAAGATAGACCTTTCTCAGACTAAAGGTTAGTCTTTACTTTTGTTAAATATACTTTTCTGCATAAAAAGATAATATTGCATATAGACTTGAATCATAAGACTCTGAATAAGAGTAAGTTCAAGTCAATGACGACTCCTACTCATTTTTCCACAGATAAAATCTAGTTCCCTAATTCAATCCTGCATGTGAAAATTGGGGTTTTGGGGTTTTGGGGTTTTGGGGTTTTGGGG